GTGGTCAGCTAAGCAATTCTGAGTTGTCTGTGGTTCAGACTATTCTGTTTACTGCTTCTGCTATGTTGCCTATTATAGCAACCACATGTACCTTTTCTCTGGTTGCGAACTGAATTGCTACCATTAACTACCATACCTTGGAATCCATCATTCTCATTGACTCATTTAGTCTAGTTCAAAGGCAGTACTTCCCCTGCTGTCATTCCTAACTTACAGAGAACAGCCTTGAAGAGCTCTTGAGGGATGCCAGGGTGGGGAGGCCCTCATGAATATATGAATATATGAATATATTTCTCAGCCTTGGTGAAAGGAATGTCCTCTGGATCATCCTGGGGGACAGCAGGAGAGTGGATGGTCAGTCTGCCTGATAATCTCCTCTAGCATTCCCATCTCCTGAAGCCTCTGGATCCCGTCCTTTAGTGTACACCCAGGAAGTTCTAGCCCTTCAGTATCATTGGAATCTACACCTGTGGTATTCCATCCCAACTTTCTGATATTCATCTTTCAGCCAGGTTTCTGCCAACCAACTAAGTAAATTATTAGAGCCACTCCTGGCCACTGTATTTAATGCACTAAACCACAGTGGATTTTTTTTTTTTTTTAAAGATTTTATTTATTTGGCACAGAGAGAGAGAGAGAGAGAGAGAGAGCGTGCGAGCGAGTGCACAAGACAGGGGAGCAGCAGGCAGAGGGAAAGGGAGAAGCAGGCTCTCTGCTGGGCAGAGAGCCCAATGTGGGGCTCGATCTCAGGACTCTGGGATCATGACCTGAGCCAAAGGCAGATGCTTAACTGACCGAGCCATCCAGCACCCCTAAACCACAATTTCATATTGAGTACATATCTGTAAATTTAGCTTCATTTAATATCTTATTTTGTACCTTAGGAATCTATTCTCACACATATTCCCTGCTTTTCTGTTGATACAGGGATACCTCAGTGATATTATGGGTTTGTTTCCAACCATTGCAGTAAAGTCAGTTTCACAGTAAAACAAGTCAAATAATTTTTTGATCTCCCGGTACATGTAAAAATTATGTTTACACTATCCTGTGGTCTGTTAAGTGTGCAGTAGAGTATCTCAAGCAACAATGTTCATAACTTAATTAAAAATACTTTATTGCTGGGGCGCCTTGATGGCTCAGTTGGTTAAGCATCTGCCTTTGGCTCAGGTCATGATCCCTGGGTCCTAGGATCAAGCCCCACATTGGGCTCCCTGCTCAGTGGAGAGTCTGCTTCTCCCTCTCCCTCCGCTTCTCCCCCTTGCTTGTGTTCTCTCTCTCTCAAATGATTAAAAAAAAAAACTTTAAAAAATGTTTTATTGCTGAAAAATGCTAGCTATCATCAGAGTTTCCGGTGAGTCTTATGTTTTTGCTAGTGGAGAGTCTTTCCTTGATGTTGATGGCTGCTGACTGATCAAGGTGGCGGTTGCAATTTCTTAAAATAATACAACAGTGAAGTTTACCACATTGATAGATTTTTTTTCCTTCCATGAATGATTTCTCTGTACATGTGATAGCATTTTTGCCACAGTAGAACTATCAAAATTGGAGTCCATCCTCTCAAAACCTGCTATTGCTACTTTATCATTTAAGTTTATGTAATATTCTAAATCCTTTGTTGTCATTTCAACAGTCTTCACAGAATTTTCACTAGGACTAGATTTCATCTCAAGAAACTACTTTCTTGGGAGGGAGACAAACCATGAGAGATGCTTAATCTCACAAAACAAACTGAGGGTTGCTTGGAGGGGTTGGGGAGGTAGGGATGGGGTGGCTGGGTTATGGACATTGGGGAGGGTATGTGCTATGGTGAGTGCTTTGAAATGTGTAAGCCTTATGATTCACTGACCTGTACCCCTGGGGCAAATAATACATTATATGTTGATTTTTAAAAAAATCAATGACAGAAAAAGTTAATTGGAATACACATTAAAAAAAAAAAGGAACTATTTTCTTTGCTCATTTAAAGTTTTGTCATGAGAATGCAGCAATTCAGTCACATCTTCAGGCCGCACTTCTAATTCCAGTTCTCTTGCTGTTTCCACCAGTGAAATCTTGAAACCTCTAAGTCATCCATGAGGGTGGAATCAACTTCTTCCAAACTTCTGTTAATGTTGATATTTTAACCTTTTTCCATGAATCATGAATTTTCTGAATGGCATCTAGAGTGACAATCCTTTCCAGAGGTTTTCAATTGATTTTGCCCAGATCCATCAGAGCAAGCACTATCTGAGGCAGTTATAGCCTTACGAAACCTATATTATAAAAAATAAGTCTTGAAAGTAAAAAATTACCCCTATTATTAAGTTTGCTGTCCTATATGGGTGTAGTTTGTGGTTCCCCGAAGCAATTACAGTAGTAGTATCAAAGAGTACTGATCACAGATTACCATGACAATTGTACTAATAGTGAAAAAGTTTCAAAAATTGCAGAAGTTACCAAAATGTGACATGAAGTGAGCAAAGAGTGTTAGAAAAATGGCGCCCGTAGACTAGCTTAACGTAAGTTGTCACAAACTTTCAATTTCTTAAAAAGCTCGGTATCTGCAAAATGCAGTAGAGTGAAGCACAGTAAAATGAGGACTGCTTATATATATTGGCAAGTGCAACTCTTGGTGTGTTTCATGTCTTTTCATGTGTCAGTCATTTGTACATTATTGTCTGGGGCTTCCTAGGTTTTGAAGCACTGAGAGGTGGCAGGGCAGATTCTTAGTAGGCCTTAGCAGTCCCTTCCTTACAAGGCCACTGTTAAAAAGACCAAACCAAACCAAAACAAAAAACTATCATAGGCATTCGGACAGGAGGAGACTGAGAAAGAAGAGGAAGGGCAAGAGAGACTTGGGAGAATTTAGTGTTTTAAGGTCCCCTGCCTGCCCCATTGGAATCTGCCCAGATGTTCCCTTCCCAATTGCAGAGTCTCACTTCTTCCTAATCAGTGCCCTAACTTTAACTTAAGAGCCTGTGCAAGGTTGGGAGTTCAGTTTGCATTGTAATTCAGCCCCTGCAAAATGTTGGTATTTGGTAATCTTGGCGCGGTAGCCAAAGGAGATAAGGGGTTCTTTTAGGACAGTCATAGAGTCTTTGAGGTCCCTTTATGCAGATCCTGCATTTCTCTCAGGTTCTTCAGTATATTTAGGAGGGGGCAGTCAACCCCATTATTCTCAAAAAATGTTCTGTGACAGCAAACACTTGGTCACCCAGAGCCTTTCGCTCTCTAAATAACTTAATTACTGGTGTCTAGATTGTAATTCACATAACTTCGTCTACTGTGTGTCATGGAATACCACTCTCCCTTTTACCACTGAAGGGGTCATTAATGCCTTTAATAGGTGGCATAGAAGCAATTTGAAGAACCTACTTTTAACTTTCTTTTCCTCAGGAACAACATTTGGTGTTGGTTAGGGTTCATTTAGAGAAGCTGAATCATTGTGAGTGATATAAAGGATTTATAGGAATCAGTTCCTACATGATCATGGCATGTGGTTAAGCAGTCCATTACTGGTCCTGAAGTTAGCAGTGCTAGCAGTAGAGACGAAGATGGAGCGCAAGTGTGGCAGGGTAAAAAAGAGCTGAAGCCAGTGAGCAGAAAATGGAGCCTGTCTGGCTCTTGCTTGCACTCGTGTTGGTGTGTCGTTGCCTCCAAGGCTCTGATTGCCAAGATGCTGGTGCCCTGCAGAAGAGCTGGCGCATTTGCCATAGAAAATTGTACAGGAACGTGGCCAATGATTCAGGGAAGCTGAAGAAGCTGTGGGCCATCCTGCTGCCCCAAAGAGATTCAGCAGGAGATGGAGGAACTGACTTCTGCCACCTGCCAAGAATGAATGAGCCCCAGCAGCACCTGACATTATGCCAACCATCTGAATGTAATGTAAAAGGTGGCTTCTCTTTCATTTCTACCTTCCAGCTCCAAGAGTTCACTTGTGGCCACTCCTAACCCAGAATATTTCAGGGAAGGCAGTTCAGGTAGTTGGTATAATACAAAGCCACCATAGCATCCTATTTTAAATCATAACCATGAGGTTTCATCTTATGAAAATTTCCAGCCTTCAAACTGGATCAATGCAGATTGATGTTTTAGAAAGCACCAAGGACATCTTTAAAAAATTTTTAGTTTCTATTGTGTCAAACATAATCTCACTTTGGCTTTAATACTCGGATTGCTTAGAAGGTTGCTTTACAAATTAGTTACGATAGAATTATAATGTCATTTACAGTAGCACACTTGATATCTCCTTTAATTGTTACATCAGCTTGTTTCTAATCCCGACTCTTTATCATGCTAACATACAAACCCAGATATGAGTGTTTTTGTGAGATATTATCTAAGTAGTTAGGGGATAACTTTATTTTTTATTTATTTATTTTTGAAAAAAAGATTTTTATTTATTTATTTGACAGAGATCGCAAGTAGGCAGAGAGGCAGGCAGAGAGAGAGGAGGAAACAGGCTCCCTGCCCAGCAGAGAGCCCGACTTGGGGCTCGATCCCAGGACCCTGCGATCATGACCTGAGCTGAAGGCAGAGGCTTAACCCACTGAGCCACCCAGGCGCCCCTAGGGGATTACTTTAAAATGCCTTCTTTTTGTTTCAAAGTCTGATCACTTTACTTAAATGACTTCGAAGATTGTTGGACCACTGTCCCACAACACAGTAAAAGTAACAGTGATCTTTAATTAAATGCACAGCTGTGTGCCAGATACTATGTTAAGAACTTTCCATATGTTACCTCACTTAATTCTTTAAAACAATACTATGAAAGCTAGATATTATCCCCATTTTCCAGATGGGGAAATTGAGGCTCACTTAAGTACTTAGCTTGAGCTAAAAAGGGGATCTAAGATTTAACTCAGGTCTGTGTGACTCCCAACACACATGCCCTTAACTACCCTGCTCTACTACTATAAGTGTCTGTAATTTCAATGGTGAGGAATATCCAAAAATCAGTAGGGAAACCTCAAACTAATTATTTAGTCATTGTATCTTTTTTTTTCCCTTCCTTACAGGTCTAACTGAAGAATTGGATTCTATAACCAACGAGCTACATGCAGTAGACATTCAAATTCAGGAGCTTTTGGAAAGGCAACAAGAGCTTATTCAGAAAAAGAACATCCTAACAAACCGAATAAAGCAGCATTTAGAGGCTCCTGATGCTGGGGAAAGCAGTGAATGGGATTCTTCACCTGCTGCTTGGAATAAAGAAGGTCTACTCTGTTTTTCTTTGCTAGTTTTGTTTCTAATTTCTTTCTTTATGTAGGAGTTAAATCATCGTTCCTGGATCAGTGCTTTCCATTGGCTCAGAGGGAAACTGGCCACTCTTTAAGGGGCATGGGAAGCCAGTAGGCAAACCATTCTTACTCATGTTCTTTTTGAATGAAACTTTATTTTTCAGACTTCATTATTTTTTTCCAAATATAGTTCTAACAGCATCAGTCAATGCTTGGAAAATATTTTTAACTAAATTTGTAAAATTTTAACTAGAAGAAAATTAAACCATTAAGAAAAAAAAAATGGATTCAGACTTCTTGCCAAAGTCTAGTTTATTTTCCTGCCCTAGTGAACACACCTTTCTTGATTCAAGATCTTGCCAACCATCATGTTTATCATTAGCTATCACATTCAAATGGAATACTGACTCTAGAATTGCAATGCTTTTATGGGCCTTGATTTCCAGGGATTCACTTCTAAACAAGATATTTACATAAATTCCATATAATTGTTAACTTGATATTTGAGATTTTTATGATACTATGAATTCCCTGATCAACATTCAGATTTTTTTTTTTTTAAAGATTTTATTTATTTATTTGACAGACAGAGATCATAGGTAGGCAGAGAGGCAGGCAGAGAGAGAGAGAGAGAGGAGGACGCAGGCTCCCAAATAAGCAGAGAGCCTGATGTGAGGCTCGATCCCAGGACCCTGGGATCATGACCTGAGCCGAGGGTACTGAGCAACCCAGGTCCCCCAACATTCAGATTGTTTTTTGAATACCTGTCAAGTACTTTCCTCTTATTTGTAGGTTAATTCTCAGCTGGCAAATGTTTTCATTTTTTTCTGATGTACTGTTTCTTATATATCATTAAATGTGTTTTTGCTTAGCTTTGTGAGCTAAACTAATCTCAAAATTGTCAGTATAAAAATTAAATTGTTAATAGTATTTAAAGTCTTACATAAATTCTAACCTGTTTTTCTCTATTATAAAAGCGGCCATTCATGTTTTTATCTCATTTATAATCCTAAATAGTTCTAATATATGTAACTTACTTTTCTCTGTCTAGATTTTCCCTGGTCTGGTAAAGTTAAAGATGTTCTGCAGAATGTCTTTAAACTGCAGAAGTTCAGACTGCTTCAGCTTGAAACTATTAATGTAACAATGTCTGGAAAGGAGGTATTTCTTGTTATGCCTACGGGAGGTGGAAAGAGCTTATGCTACCAATTACCAGCATTATGTTCGGACGGTATGTATTAATAAAGATTCATTTAAGTTGAAGAAATGCCATTTCTCTTTTAATTCTTTAAAAAAAAGAATTTCTAATCATACCTGTGTAAAAACTAAGTGCATTGTTATTTTATCTTTATGTTAATAGACATTTTGAAGGGTTCATTTAAAGAGAGACTGTTAAAGACTTTGAGTGGAATTAGTTCTTTTATCTTGTTCTTAAAACATAATTAAAAATCCATGGGCATGGATTCTAGTACCAGATCTTTATTGAGTGTCGGCTCTGGTGTTAAGCACGGGAGGTAAGACTAGTGAGCAAAACAGGCAAAGTTCTAGTTTTCATAGAGTTCGTGGTATAAAGTAGTGCTTTCTCAAACTGTAACGTGTAAGAATCACTGGTGATGTGATTAACATGCAAATTCTGAGTTTGTGTGGGACCCACAATCTTGCATGTCTAACAGGCTTCCAGGTGATACTGATGCTGCTGTTTGGGGACTAGCAAGGGTATAGAGCAGGGGTCAGAAGACTTTCCTTTAGAGAGCCAGTCAGTAAATGGGATAGATGTGGTCCATATGATCTCTGTGGCAGCTACCGAACTCTGCCATTATAGCATGAAAGTAGCCTTGGACGGCATGTAAACTAATGGAAGTGCCTGTGTTCCATTAAAACTTGAATTACCCAGACAAGCAGCTAGTCCTTAGTGTATTGACCCCAGTTTAGAGAATAGGTTATTGTAAGCAATTGCAATAAAGGTTTTGTGATAGAGATTTTAGTAGGGAATTAAGTTAGTACAAAGATCTGGCCTAGGGGCTGTTAGAGAAAGCTGTCCTGCCAGTGTGGCATTTAAGTTAAAAGTTGAAGGATCAGTAGGCAAAGCTAGAACAGGGGAGTAAGGAAGAGTGTTCGTGCAGGGGAGCAGTATTTCTGAGCCCAGAACTAAGAACATTAATGGTAGAGGGTATTTAGTAACCTGGAAGAATTTCATTGTGGCAGGCAGTGAGGGACAAGACTTGTGGAAAGAATCTTGAAAGGTATTATAAAAACTTAGATTAGTGGGAAACCATTGAAAGGTTTTATGTAGGTAAGAGACTAGTTAGGATTGTGCTTTAGAAGATAGAGGAATTCTAGAAATAATTAGGAGGTAGATTCAGTAGGACTTGTTTTCATTGTATGTATGGTAGTGGGGGTGGTAGGAGAAGGGATAGTCTAGAATGATGTCCAAATTCTAGGCTAGGATAAATGGCAAAGTTGCTCATTGAAATAGGATACATTTGGAGAAAGAACTTCTGTGGGAATGGAGAGAGAGGGAAGATGAGTTGAGGAAGTAGAACTAGTGAATGGGACAGTCTTTGCAAAGAATTGTTAGCCCTAAATTAGATATCCAGGGTGTTTTAAAGATGAGAGGGCTTGCCCGTGTTTAAATATAATGAGAAGGTACCACTGTTGAAGGAGAATGTGAAAATACAGCAGAGAGAGTATTTGAGATGGCAAATCCCTGTTAAAATCTGAATCTGAGTCTGTTTTTTAATTGGTCTGCTCTCTGTCTCAGGTTATTTTAAGAACAATCTATGGAGACATAAGTTAATGTAGAATAACTCTTAACAGCTGTGCACAATTTCAGTAATAAGAGAAAGGGGATATACTATCAGCATTTCATTCAGTCAGTAAACTGATCACTGATTTCTACTCAGCATGTATTAATCTGGTACAGTAAGTAGAAGAATACTCAAGTCACTATCAATTGTAATTATACAGGTTGCTGTGTTTTCTTTGGAAAGCCTTAGAATAACTTTTTCCTCATATAACTGGACAGTATTTGACTAGATTTACAATATTTTGCTAATACATCCAATAATGATAAGTAAAAATTCAGAATGATATGTTTTTATTTTTATAATATTGAATAGGGAAGAGATTTCTGTCTAATCTTATATTTGCTTATTTGGCTAATGGTCATTTATTTATATCTATCTCTTCTGTTAATGAGGATGAGAAGTAGGTAGTATATTGATGTTGTGATGCTCTCAGGTGAGTGGTTGAAACTTATTCTCGAGGTAGTGTAAAATTTAAAGTACATACTTTCTCTTTTAGGTTTTACCCTTGTGATTTGCCCATTGATCTCTCTTATGGAAGACCAGTTAATGGTTTTAAAACAATTAGGAATTTCAGCTACCATGTTAAATGCTTCTAGTTCTAAGGTATGCTTCTGTGGCTCTTTTTTTTTTTTTTTTTAACTCTTCACTGATGTAGGAGCCTTGGTTTCTACTGAGTTAGTTATAAAATTATAAAATAACTATATCTGGAAGTTGCAAACTACTATTGATGGGCCAGTGTTAGCCCACTGCCTATTTTTATATGGTCTGTGAGCTAAGAATGGTGTGTGTGTATTCAGGTTTTTATTTATGTTCTAGTTAACATATAGTGCAATATTGGTTTCAGGAGTAGAATTCAGTGGTTTATCACTTATATACAACACCCAGTCCTCATCATAAGAAATGCTCTTCTTAATGGCTATCACCCATCTAGCCCATCCCCTACCCACCTCCCTCTGTCAGCCCTCATTTTGTCTCTGTGGTTAAGAGTCTCTTATGGTTTGTTTCCCTCTCTTCCCCCTCCCCCCACATGTTCATCTGTTGTTTCTTTTTTTTTTTTTTTTTTTTATAAGATTTGTTTGTTTTAGAGAATGAGTGCAAGCACGGGGAGGGGCACAGGGACAGAGAGAGAGAGAGAGAGAGAGAGAGCATGCTTCAACAGACACCCTGCTTAGCACAGAGCTTGATGCCACGGACTGGACTCGATTCCACGACCCAGAGATCATGACCTGAGTGGAAACCAAGAGTCAGATGCTCAACCAACTGAGCCACCCAGTCACTCACCCCTGTTTTGTTTCTTAAATTCCACATATGAGTAAAACCATATGGTATTTGTCTTTCTCTGACTGACTTATTTAGCATAGGACACTCTAGCTCCATCCACATCCTTGAAAATGGCAAGATTTCATTCTTTTTGATGGCTGAGTAAATCCCATTGTACATATATGTACATACAGAGACACACACCCACACACATCATCTTTATCCGTTCATCAGTTGATGGATGTTTGGTCTCTTTCCATAGTTTGGCTATTGTTGATAATGCTGGTGTACATATCAGGGTTCATGTACCCCTTTGAATCTGTATTATCCTTTGGGTAAATACCTAGCAGCACTGTTGCTGGATCATAGGGTCATTCTATTTTTAACTTTTTGAGAAACCTCCATACTGTTTTTTACAGTGGCTATACCAGTTTGCAGCCCTACCAACAGTGCAAGAGGACTCCCCTTTCTCCCATCCTCACCAATACCTGTTGTTTCTTATGTTGTTAATTGTAACCATTCTGACAGGTGTGAGGCGGTATTTCATCATGGTTTTGATTTGTATTTCCCCGATGATGAGTGACATTGAGCGTCTTTCCATGTGTCTGTTAGCCATCTGGATGTCTTCTTTGAAAAAGTCTGTTCATGCCTACTACTCATTTCTTAATCAGATTTTTGGGTGTTGAGCTTGATAAGTTCTTTATAAATTTTGAATACTTACCCTTTATCAGATATATCATTTGCAGATATCATCTCCCATTCCATAAGCTGCCTTTTAGTTTTGTTGATTGTTGCCTTTGGTGTGCAGAAGCTTTTTATCGTGATGAAGTCCCAGTGGTTCATTTTTCCTTTGTTTCCCTTGCCTCTGGTGTTGTGTCTAGGAAGAAGTGGCTATGGCTGATGTCAAAAACTTTGCTGACTGTGTTTTCCTTTAGGATTTGAATGGTTTCTTACTTACATTTAGGTCCTTCATCCCTTTTTAATTTATTTTTGTGTATGGTGTAATGAAGTGGTCCAGTTTCATTCTTCTGCATGTTGCCATCCAGTTTTCCCATGTCTTTTCTCCATTGGATACTTTTTCCTGCTTTGTCAGAGATTAGTTGAACATAGATTTGTGGGTCCATTTCTGGGTTTTCTGTTCCATTTCATTGATCTATGTGTCTTTTTTTGTGCTAGTACCATACTGTCTTGATGACTACAGCTTTGTAATATAACTTGAAATCTGGAATCACGATACCTCCAGTTTTGGTTTTCTTTTTCAGGGTTGGTTAGCTATTTGGGGTTTTTTTTTGTGGTTCCATACAAACTTTAAGATTGTTTGTTCTAGCTCTGGGAAAAATGCTAGTGGTATTTTGGTAAGGATTACATTAAATATGTAGATTGCATTGGATTGTATAAACATTTTTTAACAATTTTCTTCCAGTCCATGAGCATGGAATGTTTTTCCATTTCTTTGTGTCCTCTTCAATTTCTTTTTAAGTCTTTATAGTTTTCAGAGTACAGATCCTTTACTTCTTTGGTTATGTTTATTCCTAGGTATCTTATGGTTTTTGGTACAATTGTAAATGGGATTGATTCCTTGATTTCTTTTTCTGTTGTTTCATGATTGGTGTATGGAAATGGAATGAATTTCCCTACATTGCTTTTATATCCTGTGACTTTGCTGAATTGATGTATTAGTTCTAGCAATTTTTTGTGGAGTCTTTTGGGTTTTCTACATAGAGTATCATGTCGTTTGCACATACTGAAAGATTGACCTCTTTCTTACCGATTTGGATGTCTTTTATTTCTTTTTCTTGTCTGATTGCTGAGGCTAGGACTTCCCTTACTATGCTAAATAGTAATGCTTAAAAGTGAATATCTCTATCTTGATTCTGACCATAGGGGAAAACTCTCAGCTTTTCCCCATTAAGGATGGTATTAGCTGTGGGTCTTTCTTACATGGTCTTTATGATAGTGAGTTATGTTCCATCTACCCCTACTTCATTGAGGGTTTTTATCAAGAATGGATGCTATATTTTGTCAAATGCCTTTTTTACATCTGTTGAGAGGATCATATGGTTCTTATGCTTTCTTATGTTAATGTGGCATATCACATTGATTGATTTATGAATATTGAACCAGCCCTGCAACCTGGGAATAAATCCCACTTGATCATGGTGAATAACTCTTTTAATGCACTATTGGATTCAATTTGCTAGTATCTTATTGAGAATTTTTGGATCCTTGTTCAGGGATATTGGTCTGTAATTTTCTTTTTAGTGGGGTCTTTGGTTTTGGAATCAAGGTCATACTGGCCTTGTAGAATGAGTTTGGAAGTTTTCCTTCCATTTCTGTTTTAGGAATAATATGAGAAGAATAGGTATTAACTTTTCTTCTAAATGTCTAGTAGCGGGTGCCTGGGTGGCTCAGTGGGTTGGGCCTCTGCCTTCAGCTCAGGTCATGATCTTGGGGTCCTGGGATTGGGCCCCACATCGGGCTCTTTGCTCGGTGGGGAACCTGCTTCCTCCTCTCTCTCTGCCTACTTGTGATCTCTCTCTCTAAAAAAAAAAAAAGAAAAAAGGTCTGGTAGAATTCTCTTGGGAAACCATCTGGCCTTGGACTTTTGTTTCTTGGGAAATAGTGGATTACTGATTAAATGTCTTTGCTGGTTATGGGTCTGTTTAAATTTTCTGTTTCTTCCTGTTTCAGCTTTTGTAGTTTGTATGTTTCTAGGAATTTGTCCATTTCTTCCAGATTGCCTAGTTTGTTGGCTTATAAATTTTCATAAATGCTCATTTAATTGTATTTCTGTAGTGTTGCCTGTGACCTCTTTCATTTGTGATTTTGTTTTTGGGTCCTTTCTCTTTTTGATAAGTCTGTCTAGGGGTTTATCAATTTTATTAATTCTTTCAAAGAACTAACTCCTGGTTTTTTGTTGATCTCTTTGTCATGTTTTCATTTTCATTTGCTTTTGTGTACTTTTTAATTTCATCTTAAATTTCCTGGTTGAGCGATTCATTCTCTAGTAGGATGTTCTTTAACTTCATGTATTTGTGATCTTTCCAAATATTTTCTTGTTGACTCCAAGTTTCATAGTGTTGTGAGCTGAAAATCTCAGTCTTTTTGTACTTGTTGAGGGCTGATTTTGACTCTGTATGTGGTCTGTTCTGGAGAATGCTCCATGTGCACTCTAAAAGAATGTGTATTCTGCTGCTTTAGGATGAAGTGTTCTGAATATATCTGATAAGTCCATCTGGTCCAGTGTGTCATTCAAAGCCATTGTTTCCTTGTTGATTTTCTGCTTAAATGATCTGTCCATTGCTGTTAATGCCCTCTACTGTTACTGTATTATTGTCAATGAATTTCTTTATGTTTGTTAATTGATTCATATATTTGGGTGCTCCCAAGTTGGAGGCATAAATATTTATAACTGTTAGATCTTCTTGATGGATAGACCCCTTAATTTATGATAATCAGCGCCCTTCTTCATCTCTTGGTACAGTCTTTGGTCTAAAATCTAGTTTGTCTGGTATAAGAATGGCTACTCTGGCTTTCTTTTGACGTCCATTAGTGTGTTAGGTGGTTCTCTATCCCCTCTCTTTAAAGAAGCAGGTGTCTTTAGGTCTAAAATGAGTCTTTTGTAGATGGGTCTTGTTGTTTTATCCATTCTGATACCCTGTGTCTTTTGATTGGAGCATGTAGTCTATTTACATTCAGAGTGATCATTGAAAGATAAGAATTTAGTGCCATTGTGTTACCTGTAAACTTGGTGGTTCTGGTGGTATTCTTTGTTCCTTTCTAGTCTTTCCTGCTTGGTGTGTATGTATATAAATAAATAAATAAATACACACAATTTAAAGATTTATCTATTTATTTGAGAGAGAAAGAAAGAGTATGCGTGCACGGGCAGAGAAGCAGAGGGAGAGGGAGATGGGGAGCACACTCCCCAGTGTGGAACCTGACATGGGCTCACTCACACAACCCTGAGATCACAATCTGAGCTGAAACTAATAGTCAGACACTCAAACAGCTGAGCCACCTAGGCACCCCTTGATTATTATATTTTTGAATGTTTAAAAATAATTAAAAGAATGAAAGTACTTTGTGAAGTGTGAAAATTATATCAAATTTAGATTTCAGTGTCCATAAAGTTTTATTGGAATACAACCTTGCTTGTTCATTTACATGTTGTCTAACACTGTTTCACAGAATAATGGCAGAGTAGTTATGATGGATATTATATGGCCCACAAAACCCAATATTTACTATCTGGCACTTTACAGTAAACATTAGCTGACCTGTTTTATATTTTCTATTAGAAAATGGTAAGCAAGAATTACTAATTATGGAATATAATTAAATACAAATGGTGCATTACTAGCAAGGTATGCTTTCCCTGTGGAATTTCATCTGTTTGGGAATGGACTCTTACCTTCATCTGTTGAATAGCCTTTTTCACCTATTCTTTTTTAAAAAGGATGTTACTGAACTTTTGAAAAGATAGAGAAATAGAATCATAATGCAACTGCCAGTTACCCATTAGCCACCTTTAACAGTTACCAACATAGGACCAATCTTTTTTCATTTGTATACCCACCCTCTTCCCTCTTGCTTTATTTATTTGAAACAGTTCCCAGAGGTTATTTTAGTTGTAACTCCTTCAGTATGAATGAGAAAGATATAATTACAATGACATCATCACACCTAAAAAATTTAGCGTTGATTCATTAACATCATCAAATAAAAATATTCTCATCAAAGCTTACTCTTTTTTTGAATTGTGTTCCAGAATAGATTGGTGGATTATGTTGTGTTTTGTTGATTTTTCTGTAGGTTCCCCTTTTTCTTATTTGTTTCCCATGCAAATTTAAGTTATTTGTTGAAGAAATTAGGGTCTTTGTTTTGGTTTTGATTTTCTGATAACCTCCTTGTAATATTGTTCAGTTTGTTCTTTTTAGTTTTAAAAGCTTGACTGTAGTTGGCCTTTTTCTTTTCTTTTTCAACAGTATATTTCCCATGGCATGACTCAGGAGGTACATCATAACCTGGTTATTTTGTATGATGTTAAGCTCGGTCAGTGGGTTCGGTGATATCTGCCTGTTACAGAAGTTCTCTGTTCCCTTTTCATCTAATGGCTTTAGAGCTGTGAATGATTATTGCCTGCCTTAAATACCTCTAATTAGGGGGTTACAGAGTGATGATTTCTCATTCTGTCACTCTTATATCAGCTAGACTTTTTCTGTAAAGAACTTTTTCTTTATTAACGCTTGCAGATTATAAATTCTTTCCCTTTAACATTTCTCAGAAAAAGTTGCTTTCCTAGCATTCTCCAAAGGTGGTCTGTAAGATTTTTTTTTTTCAGTATCATAAACTTATGGACATTTAACATATTTAATAGATCTTAATCCATATTATTCTTTTTTTTTTTAAAGATTTTATTTATTTATTTGACAGAGAGATCACAAGCAGGCAGAGAGGCAGGCAGAGAGACAGGAGGAAGCAGGCTCCCTGCTGAGCAGAGAGCCCGATGCGGGGCTCGATCCCAGGACTCCGAGATCATGACCTGAGCCGAAGGCAGCGGCTTAACCCACTGAGCCACCCAGGCACCCCTCCATATTATTCTTTATTATGCTGAAGTAGCCCTGTCCTTAGGCAGTGAGCACCTCTTCATGTTGGCCCCTGAATCTTTTTTCTTCACCCCATAGTTTCTGACTCCTTGCTTGCTTTTATGAGAAGTTACTCCATGCTCATTTTGCATATTTCCTTCCAGACCTGGTGTCAGCCATATATCCAGGTAGCCATGGTTCCTTTAGTTTTCTCATCTGTTTCTGTATTTAAACTCTCATGTCCAAGCTGCTGTCTCATTCAATAGCGTGAATGTGGAGAACATTGCTTTCTACCACTGTACTTCCTTAACCCTGAAAAATAGAGTAATAATAATAGAAAATAGCTGTAAATTGCAGATAAGTAGAGGTTCATGCCACATCACTTCTGTTTGAAAAACTGGGGAGGAAAAAAGGGGAAGGATAGGTTAAGTCCAGATTTCTGTTTGCTTCCACTAGCAGTTTATAAGCTGTGAATATAGCTTCTTTTCTCAACCTTGCTTCTCCATTTACTCTGCCAGAAGTTCTGGAGAGTCAGGGCCTTTTTTTTTTTTTTTTTTGGTTAAAGATTTTATTGATTGATTTATTTATTTGATAGCGAAAGAGCGGGAGTGGTGGGGGAGGAGCAGACAGAGAGGGACAAGCAGACTCAGCACTGAGCGCATAGCTGATGGGGGTTTGATCACATGACCCTGAGATCATGACCCAAGAGTCAGGCACCCAACCGACTGAGCTACCCAAGTGCCCCAGAGTGTTTTCATTTTTATTTTTTGTTCTTTTTTTTGTCAGATGAAATTATTCTGAGCACCTGGGTGGCTCCTTCAGCTCAGGTCATGATCCTGGAGTCCTGGGATCGAGTCCCACATCAGTCTCCCTGCTCAGCAGCGAGTCTTTTTCTCCCGCTGACCTCTCTCCTCTCATGCTCTCTTTCTCATTCTCTCTCTCTCTCTCTCTCAGATAAATAAATCTTTTAAAAAAAGACACACACCCCCCAAAATGAAATTAGTCTTTTGTCGACATTTGGATACAAGTAAACATCTAAAATGCTTTTTACAGTTGACTTGAAGTTTAGTACTGGGACATAGTCTCAGTTTTAATGAACTCCGCATCTGCTAAAACAGTCCAAAGCTCTTGCTTTGAGTAACAAGCATCTTCATTTACTGGTTAGTATGCCAGTCTACAAGTTTAGTTCCATCATTGTGTCTGTTTTTGCTTTCAACAGGAGCATGTGAAATGGGTTCATGCTGAAATGGTAAATAAAAACTCCAAGCTGAAGCTAATTTATGTGACTCCAGAGAAAATCGCAAAAAGCAAAATGTTCATGTCGAGACTAGAGAAAGCCTATGAAGCGAGGAGATTTACCCGGATTGCTGTGGATGAAGTTCACTGCTGTAGCCACTGGGGACATGATTTCAGACCTGGTATGTATGATGTATCTAGAACACTCCTTGAAATTAGGGATTATTCTCTTACTCACTCACATGAAAGAAATCCCTGGTTTCATTAAACTTATTTCCTCAGCCAGTTATTACTCATTTTCTCTCGCCTTAATATAAGGGGAGTCGAGAGGCAGTCTTCAGTCTTTACTACCCCCATGGTAGCGCTTAGTCTGATTGCCTTTATCCCGTGAAATGCATGTTTCTTAGCAACATGATTCTCTCCCATGGTTAGCCATAAATGTTTAGTTACACCCAAGTTCTCTCTTGCATCCATTGAGGAATCCATATCTGCTTCAGAGCAGTGTTCTTTAACCATCAGAGTCTCCAGCATCCACTTCCAGGTCTGTACCCAACTACCACTATGGAATTACAGTGCTGTGGGATATTTTAGTAACCCTGTCTTTATTCCTCCTACCTATTCCTACAGTCCTAGCCGGAAGCAGATCACCCAGACTTGTTCTTGTGCAAAATAACCTTAAATTTTAAGAAATCCAGCTCATGATATCAATGTCATTTCTTTCTGAACTTGCTTTCACATGCATATAGCCCCCTGATATCCCCTTTAATTCCTCCTCATATTTGTCCACGACTCCAGATGCCACCTGATGGTCCCTCTCTCCTCCTTCCAGACTCTGCTGTTGCCACTTCGGTTTCTTGTGGATTGCTTGGCATTTTACCTGCCTCAGACTCTCTGCCAGACTGAGCTACTGGACCCCTCCTGGCTTCTGCTTCCCCCATTCCTGCTGTTACAGTACTAAACGCTGGCCGGAAAAAAATTGCATGGCTACATTCATTTCCACCTCAGGTCAGCTGTCATCAGATTCCACTGTGCTTTTACTTATTCCTGATGTGCCTCCTGTAAGCATTTCTCCCAGCAAGCTTTCCCTGCCTTAAACTTCCCTTTAGGTCCAACCTCCTACTGGTCCCCAGGAAATAGATGCCGACTTGTCTGGAGGTCTCCTCTTTCTCCTTCCAAACATTAGTAATCTTGTTTTTTCTTCTTAGGGTAAAAGAGATCATTTCTTGTAATGGTTACCATGACTCCTCCCACTTCATCCTTTCCTGACTTCTTAAGATCGCGCTCTGCCAAAGTCTTCGATCCTGCATCTTTTAAAAAATTTTTTAAATTTTTAAAAAAGATTTATTTAAGAGAGTGAGTGAGTGAGAGAGAGAGAGTATGAGCAAGGGGTGGGGGCAGAGGGAGAAGCAGGCTCTTCGCTGAACAGGGATCCTGATGGGGGGACTCAGTCCCAGGACCCTGGGATCATGACCTGAGCTTTTTTTTTTTTTTTCCTTAAGATTTTTATGTATTTATTTAAATTGAAAGAGGGAGAGAGTGAGTGAGCAAGTAAGTAGGAAGGGGAGGAGCAGAGGGAGAGGGATAAGCAGACTTTGCCCTGAGCCCAGAGTGGATCACTGGGCTGGATAGCACAATCCTGAGATCATGACCTGAGCTGAAATCAAGAGTCGAACACTCAACAAAGCCCCCAGGTGCCACTCCTGAATCGTGAGACTCCCTAAAAACAAAGATAGAAACTGAAATAGCCTTCGACCTTTCCCACCCTTTAGATGTTGTCCTATTTCTGCTCTTCCTTTCACTTCATCCTCTAAACTCACCATCTGTTTCTTACCTTCCTTCCCTTCTGAATTCACTGAATCACTTCTGCCTCCACCATTCTGCTCACAGGTGACTGTGGCCCCCTCACTCTTCACTGGCTTAATCTGTGAGGCTTATCTGCATTCCTCTTCCATTTCCTGTGTTCACCTCTCTCCTCAACACTTGTCCTTCCTGTGGTTACTGTGAGGGAGGCTTTGATGTGGTTCCTTTCCATTCTTACTGCCATTGTTCTCCTTCCTTTACTGCCACCCTAAATGTTAGTGTTCCCGATGGTTCTGATCTGTTTTCACCTTTTCTTATACTTCCCCAAACATCGTGGACTCGTGGACTGAAGACACAGTTCTCTACCTTCAGAATTATTTGGGGCACAGTTATTTTTTTAATTTTGATTTAAATACTTTAAGCAGTATATATACTGCCCTTTCTACTAGAGACCCCACCATATTAATCAGACTACTCCAAAGAGTTGTTATCTGTAGCTTCTGAAAATACCAGGTTTCTCACCTTTGCCCTCTATTTCCAACCTCAGTGGTCTGATCACTTAGGATGAGATCCGTTGCTTGTGTGTTACCATCACTTGCCTTGCCTCTTCAGATTAGTTGCCAGCTTTCCCATCCAAGTACTAACCAGGCCCGACCCTGCTTAGCTTCCGACATCAGACGAGATCGGGCGCGTTCAGGGTGGTATGGCCGTAGACTAGTTGCCAGCTTTCATCAGTTGTTCCTATATCTAGTCTTCTTCCTCTTTAGCTGCAATTTATATTCCTAATTGTTTATTGGAAATGTGTACCATTTAAAAAAAAATGTTTAGTTGAGACATAATTGACATACAACCTTGTATGAGTCTTAGTTGTATAACTAAAAGTTTGTACTTTTTGACACTCCCTTCACCCATTTTGCCCTCCCCCATCCCTCACCTCTGGCAATCACCAGGGTGTTCTCTGTATCTTTGAGGTTTTTTGTTTTTGTTTTTGTTTTTAGAGATTCCACATATAAGTGATATATTAGTGTTTGTCTTTCTCTGACTTACATCACTTAGCGTAATGCTCTCAGGGTTCATCTATGTTGTTGCGAGTAGCAGAATTTCCTTATTTTTAAGGCCAAATAGTATTGTATTGTGCATCTATGTGTATGTGTGTGTATATATATATATATATATATATATATATATACACACACACCATATTTTCCTTATCCGTGTATCAGTGCACATTTAGATTGTTTCCATGTGTTGGCTATTATAAATAATGCTCCAGTGAACATAGAGGTGTAGATAATGGGTTTGCTTTCCTTTGGATAAATACCCAGAAGCAGAATTGTTGGGTCATCTGGTAGTTTCATTTTAAAATTTTGAGGAACCTCCGTACTGTTTCATTTTGTTTTTTCTCTTTTTTAAAAGATTTATTTACTAATTTTAGAGAAAGAGTGCACACACTTGGACTATTGGAGGGAGGGACAGAGAGAAGAAGCAGGCTCCCCACACGGAGCCTGTCTCAGGGCTTGATCTCATGACTCTTAAGATTATGACCTGGGCTGAAATCATGAGTTGGATGCTTCACTGACTGAGCCACCCACGTGTCCAACGGTACTGTCTTCCGTAGTGGCCATACCAATTTACTTTGCTACCAACAGTGTACCGGGGTTCTCTTTTCTCCACACTTATTTCTTATATTTTTGATAACAGCCATTCTTACAAGTGTGAAGTGATATTTTGTTGTGGTTTTGATTTGCATTTCACTGATGATTAGTGATGCTGAAAACCTTTTCAGGTACCTGTTGGCTATTTGTATGTCTTCTCTAGAAAAATGTCTATCCAGATCCTTTGCCTGTTTTTCAATCGGATTTTTTGGGTTTTTTGCTATTGAGTCAAGCAAGTTCTTTGTGTAGTTTTTATGTTAACCTTTAATCAGATAGTTGTAAATATTTGCTCCTAGTCCATAGGTTTCTTTTTCATTATGTTGATGGTTTCCTTTGCCGTACAAGTGTTTTATAGTTTCATGTAGTCCCACTTAACACATTTTTGCTTTTGTTGCCTTTGCTTTTGATGTCAAATCCAGTAAATCATTGCCAAGATCAGTGTCTGGAGCTTATTCCCTATGTTTTCTCTGGTAGTGTTATGGTTCCAGGTGTTATGTTCAAGACTAACCCATTTTGAGTTGATTTGTGTATGATATAAGCTTCTAGTTTCATTCTTTTGCCATGTGGCTGTCTAATTTTCCCAATACCATTTATTGAGGAGTCTGTTGCTTATCTCCATTTTATATTCTTGATGCCTTTGTCATAAATTAATTGACGTATATGGGTGGGTTTATTTCTGGGTTTTTAATTCTGTTTTGTTGATCCATGTTTGTATTTTAACACTAATACCATACCGTTTTGATTACTATAGCTTTGTAATATGGTTTTGAAATTAGGAAGTTAGATGCTTTTAGCTTTGTTCTTTCTTAAGATTGCTTTGGCTATTGGGGTCCTTTTGTGGTTCTGTATAAATTTTAGGTTTGTGTTTCTAGTTCTGTGAAAAATGCCATTGGACTCTTGATAGGAATAGCATTGAATCTGTTGATTGCTCTGGGTATGTGGATATTTTAACAGTGTTAAGTCTTCCAGTTCATAGACACAGAATATCTTTCCATTATTTGTGTTATTTTCAGTTTCTTTTATCAGTGTCCTACAGTTTGCAAGTGTATAGGTCTTTTACTTCCTTGGTTGAATTTATTCCTTAGCATTTTATTCTTCTTGATGCAATTGTAAATGGAATTGTTTTCCTAAATTTTCTAATAGTCTGTTATTAGTATATAGAAATACAACAAAGGTGCCTGGGTGGCTCAGTCAATTAAGCACCTGCCTTCAGGTCAGGTCATGATTCTAGGGTCCTGGGATTGAGCCCCACATTTTCCTCTCTGCTCAGCTGGGAGCCTGCTTCTCCCTCCCCCTCTGTTGCTCCCTCTGCTTAATACTCTTTTTCTCTCTCTCTGTCAAATAAAATATAATTTTAAAAAAACTGATTTTTTTTGTATTCATTTTTTGTTCTGCAAATTTCTATGTGTAATTGCATGTCATCTGCAAATAGTGACAGTTTTACTTACTCTGTTTCAATTTGGATGCCTTTTATTTTTCTTGCCTAATTTCTCTGGCTAGGAGAAATGTTCAATAAAAGGAGTAAAAGTGGACATTCTTGTCTTGTTCCTGAATGGGAAGATAAGGTTGGAAGTAATAAGCTTGAGAGAAGGGTCTTTGTGGAGCTGACACTCCGACCTCAGAGGAGACACAGCTCCCTGGTGCTGGTGTCTATTAGTGGAGGCAGAGGTTGGGGGGAACCTGTGATGAAGCAGGCTCCCCAAAGCTTGGAAAAACAGCCGACTGTATTCAGCTGCTCCTTTGAAGACACAGTGCTGCTGTAGGGATGAAGAAGCCTTCTGGGGCGAGGTTCTTGAGAATACAAGCAAGCCCACAGGAAGCAAAAAGGAAGAAGCAAAACCTTTCTTCCTCCCCCCAGCCTCATACTCTGTCCTTCCACTGCCAGCTGGCAAAGCAGAAATGGAGTGTGCAGATTCCCTGCTCCAGTGCTGCAGAGCAGGGTATAGAAGGGTGGAGTTGGAGCTGAGGACAAATAACCTAATAGTGGCACATCCTGCTTGGTTTGTCCTGCTTCTGCAAGAACCAGACCATCACCAAGTCCTGTCCACTCTTCCTCTGAACCAAATGTCAAGTTTGTCCACTTCTCTTTGTCTACTGCTGTCTCTTAGATCCACTTGGGCTCCTTTCCACTGGTCTACTATAATGGCTCCTTCACTAGTCTGTGATTCTAGTCTTAACCCTTTTGTAGTTCATTCCCCACATAGCAACCAAAGTGGTCTTTTCTACATATAAATCAAACCCTGTACTTCCCCTCCTAAACTACCTGGCAGATTGTCTTTATACTTAGAATAAATTCCATATTCTTAACTGGGGTCCATAAGGCAGTATGTGTCTGTGCCCTTTGTCTCTGTCCAATTTCCTATTCTTCCTTACTCCCTCCTTATATTCCTGCTGCCCTGGGCTTACCACTAGGAGCCCTTCTCACTCTCTGATAATAACATACTTATTGGTTTACTGTGTTTTGTCTGGTTTCTTTGCTTGAATTGTTCTTCCATTTGCATAGCATCCTTGTTTTGTTCACCACTTAATCTTCAGTGCCTGGAGGCGTGCTTGGCACGAATTAATGAATCTTGGACTCTTTCCTCCCTTTCCCTTATGCTCCTTGCTCTACCTTCCCTGGGGCCCATATCCCGGTAGTCACCAGAACTTGAGGGGTTCTAGTTCTTGGGTTTCTCTTCAGCCTTTTCTTTCTGCTCTCTTCTCATTGTCATGCCTTGTTTCCTATTCTTACTGGGTTTCTGGTCTGCTGCTGCCATCTTTGAACTGATTTCCCTTTCTTTAGTCGTTTGTCTCTTCCAGCCCCTACCTTGCACTGCCACCAAAAGATGAGTCTATTTATATCCCTTATGTGCTTTAAAAATTACATAGTAACTCATTTCCTAGCTCCTCAGAATCAGTGAACCATGTTGTTCCCAGTAGTACTTAAGCCTGACTTTCTGTGCTCTTTAGTGTAATGGTATCAGTCGAGGGGTAGGCAGGGAGGCAGAGCTACTGTGAATGGCAGGTGACCAGGGATTTATTTTGGGAAGTAGACCCTGTACAATGGTGTGAGGAGTAGGGGTTGTAAAGGATGGAGAAGCAGAGAAAAATCCCTGGTTTCCTGAAGCACTGGTGTGGGAGAACAGTGGAGCTTATAGGGGAGTTCAACTGGCCTGGCTTGTGCCAGAGGGAGCCACAAAGGGAAAGCTCATGAGAGGTCTCTGGTAAAGCTCTGGGTATCTGTCAGCACTGTGGGTCTGCTGCCAAGCATCTTGTGGGGCCCGTTGATGGGCAAAGCTTACATTTGGGAAGAAGAACTGAAAGAAGACTGGAAAAAAAAGTAGGACAGGCTAGAACTGGCTGAGCACCTCTGCATCTATCCCTTATCCTATCTGCCTGGAGAGATCTTCAGAGAGTCATGGCAGCTGGTTCACTTCTACCTGCCCCACCTTGCACAAGGTCCTCTTTTGGGCCAGCTCTCACTTGGAGCCAAACAGGGAATGTGGTTCCCAGCTTCCTGGAGTTGACAGTAGATGCACCCAGCTTGACACTGTGGGTTATCCCAAAAGACCTGCTAGCTGTTGTCTGACTGTGCCATGTCATTTCATGCTGGTGTCTTTGCAGTGTATGTGTTGTGTCTCTGCCTGGTGGTTTCTTCTGCCCTTCCTAGTGAGCTTCTGCTTGTCCTTTAGGACCCAACTCAAATGTTACTTCCTTGAAACCTTCATGACTTTCCCAACAGCAACCTTCTCTGTTTTCATAGTAGTCCTCTAGCTTTACATTTAGTAGTTTCGACCATAGTTCTTTCCACTTTCTCCAAGTAGTTCAAGTACTTGAGGACAACTCTTCTAGTGATGGAAACGTTCATGACAAATATGAGCCCAGAATGGTTTCCCAAAAATAAATCCTATAAAAACTAGTGCCTTCACCAAAAGTTTTCTGATCTGAATTTGCCACACTTGGAGGATCGTGGTGGGAGAAAGGGCTTGGCTGATGGCCTCTTTTGTTAGTTGTAAGAGATTCACACACTATGGCCTGTCCCGCTGCCTCTTGAAGCCACTGGTCAGAGGTTGTGGACCAACACACAACTGACTAGAAATATTTTAGTATTCCCTCTCTTTAGCAGCGAGTTCTGCATGCCAGAACAGTGTTTCTGAAGGACCAGTTAGAAATAGCCTGCTTACTTAAAAAGGCCAGGTAGCAACTGCAGATTAGATTTTGGGAACCAGGGAAAGAAAATCCAGCAACCATTGCTTAACTGCATACTGGTAAGGTGTCATTTACTCCTTAAGGGTAGAAAGTGGGCTACTCGGTGTTTTCTCTCTTCCAGATTACAAGGCACTTGGTATCTTGAAGCGGCAATTCCCTAACACAGCACTAATGGGGTTGACTGCAACCGCGACAAGTCATGTTCTGAAGGATGCCCAGAAAATACTCTGTGTAGAAAAGTGTTTTACTTTCACAGCTTCTTTTAATCGACCGAATCTTTATTATGAGGTGTGTAACTCCTATGTCAATTTATTACTTTCATGAAGGATTGCCGCAGAAGTGACCTTTTCATTGTGTTTACTTACATGAGTAATAGTAACTCTTAAAAGTTTTTAAAATCAGGAAGTCATTATGAGCAGATCAGTAATTAATGCTTCCTTTGTGTATCTCTGTTGCTGCATAATCCTTTGCTGGGTTAAATAAAAGACATCACCTTGTGAAATTGATGCACATTCTTGTGCAGGGGTGGAGGGAAGGCATAGACTGATACCAAGGACCCTAATGACATCTTAAAGTTACTTAGAAAATAATACAACATTAATATGCCATTAAAGATTTGTCAATACTCAATTTAGATTATATAGCTTAACAGCTATTTTTTTTCCTTTCCTTCTAATCCTTTTAAAAGAATAGATAATATTTTTCTGAGTTTTCACCAAAGTTATTTATGTCATGGTTTATGTTTTTATAAAAGTAGCATCAGAAATAGGGGTCCCTGGGTGGGTCAGTCAGTTAAATATCCAACTCTTGATCTGACCTTAGGCCTTGATCTCGGTTGTGAGTTCAAACCGCATTGGACTCCACACTGGGCATGGAGCTTATTTAAAACAAAAAAACAAACAAACAAAAAAACCCCAGAAAATATAAAGGTCTTCATCTTTTACGAGTGCCTCTTCTTCCCTGGTAAATTCAAAACCAAGAATCAAGAAGAGTCAGGCAGGTTAATATAAGAATAAGAGAAAAAGCACTGTGCCCATAAAAGTATGGCACCCTGAAAATTGTTAAGTAAATAGCTACATGGATGGTGCTCATTCATTTACTTTGTAATAAGTTAGTTTTTTCTTAGATTCGGCAGAAGCCCTCCAACACGGAAGATTTTATTGAGGATATTGTAAAGCTTATTAATGGGAGATACAAAGGGCAATCAGGTAATATAAAAACAAACCATCTTTGAAGATTGAGAACTTTTGAAAAGTAATTAATATTACATTGATCTATTGATAAATTATTTGCAACCAAAAATATTAGTGCATGGCAAAAGGATACTTGATAGGATAAATTAATTTGCTTGATGATCTTAGAAATTGGGTGTGTCATTTGCTCATGGGACAGATTATAAGGGTCATAAAACTGTTTATTTTTGTTTATTTGCACCTAATTGCTTTAAATAGTGGACCTAATGATATAATGCTAATTATCAATAGTACATACTTAGTAACTATCCACTGTGTAGAAGAGAGAAGGTTAAAAAGTGATTTTCTGAAGGGATGTAATATACAGTCCTTTATAGTAAAGGGCACATTAAGGAATAAATAGTACGTATTGAATGAGTTAATGGTAGATGGAGTTGAGAGTATTTGTCTACCTGTTCCAGGATTAATGCATAGACAGGTGTTACTGCAGCACAGAGTTTGTGAAAAGTAGCATTTCAAAGCTGTTCTACAGATTTTTAGGAGATATTAATGGTGCCCTGGGTGAAAGGAGCTCCAGGGTCAAATTTGAGAAAGGCTGTAACTCTGTATCCCTCCTAGAGCTTCCCAGAGTGTATCAGTCAGCACATAAGACTTTCTGGTCAGCCCTGCAAATAGAGAAATCTGTTACCTGTGTTCAGTGCAGAGCCCCAGTCACTTGTACTTGAAACTTTTTACATCATACTTGAGAGAAAAAAGAGGTAATGGGAGCAACAACACTGGTGGCCCAGGGCTTATCTGTGCTTTAGAGCAAGCTGCTGATCAAATCTTGAATTATATGAGAAAACCATTATGTGTTCGGAACCTTGGAATTTTTCCTAAATCTTTTTCTTCCATGCATTATGTTAATCAGTATCTTAAATGTGTGTTAAAAATTATATCTAACATTTGAACATATTTTACTACAGGAATCATATATTGCTTTTCTCAGAAGGATTCTGAGCAAGTTACGGTTAGTTTACAGAAACTGGGAATTCAGGCAGGTGCGTACCATGCCAATATGGAACCAGAAGATAAGACCGACGTTCATCGGAGATGGTCAGCCAATGAAATTCAGGTTAAGTATATATCTTCAATAGAAGCCTCGTTAACATTTAAAAATATTTTAACTTGATTTAGTTAACATAAAATGTTAAAACTTTTTAGGTAGTAGTGGCCACAGTTGCATTTGGTATGGGAATTGATAAACCAGATGTGAGGTTTGTTATCCATCATTCAATGAGTAAATCTATTGAAAATTATTACCAAGAGAGTGGACGTGCAGGTATGTACAACTCCTATCCAGAAATAAATTTTAATAAAGCATTTCTAAAAAACACACTATAGATGAGGTTTAATGATTCTGTTTTTAATCTTCTTTATTAGCTAGTATTTTACAAAAATGAAGTCATTTTTGCTTTTTTAAAATTAAAAATTTTTTGCAGTTTTATACTTATTTGTACTTATGTACCTAAATGCTTATCTTGCTTGTATGGGAGCATTATGAATTGTTTGCTATGTTTGCTAAGATAATTTGAGGCCCATCTTTGCCTTCTGAAGTTTTAATTAGTGGTTTCACTAAGTTTATAACTTCAGTAACTAGATTATGCGTGTTTTTTTTTGTTATAAAGCTGATTGTTGGTAGGTCTCTTTAGTCATTTTTATCTTTTTATAATTTGAGGGCCACTGTTAAAAATTAACTTTCATTTTTCTGAAACTTCTAGACGTGATATATGTAGATCGTGAAGCATTGCAGGTGATTTTATACTTATTATTTTTGCATATTTTGATATTTTCAAGTAATTATGCAATCTCAGGATTTCTTACACTACAGGTCGAGATGACTTGAAAGCAGACTGTATTTTGTATTATGGCTTTGGAGATATATTTAGAATAAGTTCAATGGTGGTGATGGAAAATGTGGGACAACAGAAGCTTTATGAAATGGTGTCATACTGTCAAAACATAAGCAAGTAAGCCACATACCTTTTTATAACTTGTCATTTCAACATAAGCACTATATGAAATTACTTGAGTTACTTGCTCAGTAAGTAAATACACTGCTAGAAAGAATATCAAGTACAAACCTATAAAAGCAAATGTCAGTACATGAACCCACAGGATCTGCCTTAATTCAAGACGAGAGATTCTCTCTCCCTGAAAATCCTCCAAAACTATATTTTATTGGAGTTTTTTTAATTTTAAAGTAGAACAAGCATATTGAGATGCTGATTTTAATTAAAGAATAATTAACATACAATATTATATTAGTATCAGGTGTATAACATATTGAATCAGTATTCATATACATTATTAAATGGTCACCACAGTGAGTCTAGTGACCCTCTGTCAACCTACAGAGATGTTACAATATTAAGGACTATATTCCCTCTGCTGTATATTACATCCCCTGGTCATCTTTATTTTATAACTGGAAGACTGTACCTATTAATCCCCTTTACCTTATTTCATCTATCCCCCTTTTACTGAAAGTTTTGATATAAACAAGCCCAAGCCTTTTCTGTCTGGCTCTGGAATATAGTTACATGCTTTACTAATTTTGAAAAGGTATACACAGTAGGCATTTTGAGAGCTGAGCTTGGAAACAGGTACCATCTCACCAGCTGATGGGCTGATGAGATAGCTGAGAGCAGGGTTAAGTTTCTCCTTAAGAAATACATTTAAATCTATATAGGGCGGTTTTAGTTAGACCATATAGTTCCCTCATGGCTTTTTTTCAGTTTTAGTCATTTTTATACTATTATTGCTCAACCTAATAAGGACTCAAAAGTTTTGAACCGATAAGCAGTTATTGGACTGTGACAGAAAATGTCGTTTCTTTCCTATAGGTGGTGCAACAATCTAGTTAAAGAAATATGAATGTGAAAATTTCCTTAGATATCCAGTAGACTCCCAAGAAGCATCTTTTGGGTTTTAGTGTCACATACAAGAAACTATTAAAATACAAGAAACTGCTTTGCTATCAGGAAAATTCTCTTAATTTTTGCACAGTATTGAATCTTAAAGGGAATCTTAGACAACTTTTAAAAGAAGTATTTATCAAATACATATGGAAAAAACTATATATGGTAGGCAGAAGAATAGTCCCCCAGAGAATAGGGTATAACCCTGGGTTGTTTGGATGGGTCTGGTATAATCACAAGTGTCTTTAAATGTGGAAGGAACCAAGGAAGGTCAGAATGATACTTGTTGGCCTTGAAGATGGAGGAAAGAGAGGCATGAGCCAAGGAATTCATGCATTCTCTAGAAACTGGAAAGCACAAGGGAACAGGTTCTCCCTTAGAGCCTCCAGAAGAAGTCCATCCCTGCTGACACCTTCATTTTAAGCCAGAGAGACCCATGTCAGACTTCTCTAGAAATATAAGATAATTTGTGTTCTTTTAAGCCACTAAGCTTGTGGTGATGTTATGACAGCATTAGGAAACTAATATAAGTTAATAACTCTTGTGTTTTGAAATAGGGATTTACTAGGCATTTACTTACTAGGCATTTAATTAATTTGTATCTCCAAATGTGTTTGCAGGTGTCGCCGTGTTTTGATAGCTCAACATTTTGATGAAGTGTGGAATTCAGAAGCATGCAACAAAATGTGTGATAATTGTTGTAAAAACATTTGTGAGTTCACAGTTTTTCTAATGAAGTAGATTTGACTTACAGTGTTACATTAGTTTCAAGTGTACAAGTACACAGTGATTCCGTAAGTTTTTGTACTGTGCTGCCCACTAGAAGTGTAGCTACTGTCACCGTGCAATGCTGTTACAGTACCATTGACTATATATTCCTTGTGCTGTACCTTCACTCCATGACTTATTCTTTCCATAACTGTAAGCCTGTGCCTGTGCTCCCACTCCCCTTCATCCATTTTACCCATCTCCTTCACCTCCCTTTCCTCCTAGCAGACATTGGTTTGTTTTCTGTATTTGTGGGTCAGTTCTCCTTTCTGTTTATTCCTTTGTTTAGTTTCTTAAATTCTACATATAAGTGAAATCCTAAGGTATTGTCTTTGTCTGACTTATTCCCCTTAGCATAATACCTTCTGTCCATTCATATTGTTGACAAGATCTCATTCTTTTTTGTGACTGAGTAATACTGCATTGTGTATATATATACACCACAAAGACCTGTTAGCGGACACTTGGGATGCTACCATATCTTGGCTATAAACATAGTGATACATGTATCTTTTCAAATTAGTGTTTCTGTTTTTTGGGGGGTAAGTACTTGGTAGGGGAATTGCTGGATCATGTGGTAGTTGTTTTTAATTTTTTGAGGAACCTCCTTACTGTCTTCCACAGTGGCTGCATCAGTTTGTATTGCCGCCAACAGTGTGCAAGGGTTCCATTTTGTCCACATCCTCACCGACACTTGTTTCTTGTGTGTTTTTGATTCTAGCCGTTGTTACAGGTGTGAGGCAATAATCTCACTGTGGTTTTGATTTGCATTTCCCTAATGATTAGTGATGGTGAGCATCTTTTCATGTGTTTCTTGGCTGTTGGTAGGTTTTATTTGGGAAAATATCTCTTCAGGTCTTCTGCCTATTTTTAATTGTAATATTATTATTATTATTATTATTTGGTTTTGAGTTGTATAAGTTCTTTATATATCTTGGATACTAACCCTTTATCAGATATGTCATTTGCAAATGTCTTCTCTCATTCAGTAGATTGTCTTTTAGTTTTGTTGTTGGTTTTCTTCACTGTGCAAAAGCTTTATGGTTTCCTCTGATCCCAGTAATTTATTTCTGCTTTTGTTTCCCTTGCATGGGGAGATAGAGTCAGAAAAATGTTGCTATGGCCGATGTCAGAGAAATTACTGCCTATGTTCTCTTTTATGATTATAGACCTTACATTTTATGGTTACAGGTCTTACATTTAGGTATCTAATCCATTTTGAATTTGTTTTTGTATATGGGAAGAAAGTGGTCCAGGTTTCCCGACACCATTTAATGAAGAGAGTATCTTTTTCTGTATATTCTTCCATCCTTTGTCATAGATTGACCAGATACTAAGTGTGGGTTTATTTCTGGGCTATTCTTTTTTCCATTGATCTGTGTTTATTTTTGTGCCAGTACCATATTGTTTTATTACTGGTTTGTAGTATATCTTGAAATCTGGGATTTAAACTAGCTTTGTTTTTTCCTCATGATTTCTTTGAGGTCTTTTGTGGTCCCATACAAATTTTGAGATTATTTGTTCTACTACTGTGAAAAGTGGTGTTGGTATTTTGATAGAGATTATATTGAATTTGTAGATTGCGTAGTAGGCATTTTACCAGTATTCTTCTAGTCCATGAGCATTGAATATCTTTTCATCTGTGTAATCTTCAGTTTCTTTCATCAGGGTTTTACAGTTTTCAGAGTATAGGTTCTCTTGCTTCCTTGGTTAAGTTTATTCCTGGGTATTTTATTATGTTTGTTGCAATTATAAATGGAATGGTCTCTATCTTTCTGCTACTTCGTTATTAGTGTATAAAAATGTAACTGATTTCTATGTATTAATTTTGTATCCTGCATCTTACTGAATTCATTTATTCTAATAGTTTAGTGGAGTCTTTTAAGTTTTTCCATATATAGTATCATGTCACCTACAAATAGTGATATTTTAACTTCTTCCTTACCAATATGTGTTTATTTCTTTTTCTTGCTGTGGCTAGGACTTCCAGTATTATGTTGAGTAAAAGTGGACATCCTTGTCTTGCTCCTGACTCTGGAGAAAAAGCTGTTTTTCACCACTGAGTGTAATGTGAGCTCTAGATTCTTCATGTATGGCCTTTATTATGTTGAAGTACATTCTTTCTACACCTATGGAGTTTTTATCATGAACAGATGTTGAATTTTGTCAGATGCTTTTCCTGCATCTATTCAGATGATACATGGCTTTTATTCTACCTCTTGGAAATGAGTATCACATTGATTGATTTGCAAATATTGAAACATTGGTGTATCCTGGGAATAAATACCACTTCATTCTGGTGAATGATCCTTTTAATGTGTTGTTGAATGTGATTTGCTAATACTTTTTTGAGAAATTTTGCATCTATATGCATAGGTTATATTGGCCTGTAACTTTCTTTTTGTGTGTTGTCTTTGGTTTGGTATCAGTGTAATTACGGTCTCATGAAATGTATTTGGAAGCTTTCCTTTTTCTGTTTTTTGGTACAGTTTGTGGAGATACATGTTTGGTAGAATTCATCTGTGAACCCATCTGGTCTTGGATCTTTGTTCGTTGGTAGTTTTTTGATTATCACTTTTGCATATTGTTACTGGTACTTTGTCTATTCATACTTTGTTTTTTCCTGATTCAGTTTCAGAAAATCATGTCTCTAGCAATTTACCCATTTCTTCTAGGTTGTCCAGTTTGTTAGCATCTGATTTTTCATAATATTCTCTGACAGTCCTTTGTATTTCTGTGGTGTCAGTTTTTACTTTGCTTTCATTTCTGATTTTATATGGGTCCTCTTGCTTTTTCTTGAAAATGTGTGGGTAAAGGTTTATCAATTTCATTTACCATTTCAGAGATCCAGCTTTTAGTTTCCTCAGTCTTTTCTTTTTTTTAGTGTCTATTTCATTTCTTTCTGCTTTGATTTTCATTATTTCCTTCCTCTACTTACCTTGGGTTTTGTTCTTTTTCTAGCTCCTTTAGGTATAAGGTTAGATTGTTTATTGAAGATTTTTCTTGAGTTAGTCTGGTATCAATAATAAATTTCCCTCTTAAAACAAAACAAAACAAACAGCGGCTTTTGCTGTGTCCCAAAGATGATTTTTTTATTTCAAATTTATTTTGACTTCTAGTTTACAGACATCCCCAGAGATTTTAGACAGTTGTGTTTGCATTTTTATTGTCCCCATGTATTTTTTTAAAGTCCTTATCTGTTGACACATTCATTGCATAGCAGCATTTAGCCTCCACTTATTTGTGTGTTTCCTAGATTTTTCCTGTGATTGATTTCTAGTTTCATAGTGTTATAGTTGGAAAAGTTGAATGAGGATTTCCATGGTCTTAAATTTATTGGGACTTACTTTGTTCTTTAATGTGTTAGGTCCCAGAGAATGCTCCATGTACACTTGAAAATAATGTGTAATCTGCTCTTTTTGGATAGAATGTTCTATATGTATTATGTCCAGCTAATCTAATGTGTCATTCAAAGACAGTTTCCTTGTTGACCTGCCTGGATGATCTATCCATTGATATAAGTGGTGTGTTAATGTTCCTTTTTGTTATTGTATTATTGTCAGTTTCTCTCTTTGGTTATATTTATGTATTTACATGCTCCTATGTTGGGTGCATAAATATTTGCATTTCTTATATCTTCTTGTTGGATTGATTCCTTTCTGTTACAGTCCTTGTTTTTTTAAGGTCTGTTTTGTCTGATTGATGTACTGCTACTTGGCTTTTCTTTTTGCTTCCATTTTGCCTATGTTTTTCCATCCCTTCACTTTTAATCTGTATGTGTCTAGGTCTGAAGTAAGTCTCTTATAGGCAGCACATAGATGAGTCTTTTTTTTTTAAGATTTTATTTATATATTTGAAAGAGAGTGAGAGAGAGCAGCAGCAGATGGAGAGGGAGAAGCAGACTCCCCACTGAGCAGGGAGCTGGATGTGGGGCTCAGTCTCGGGACCCTGGGATCAAGACCTAGGTGGAAGGCAGATTCTTAATCAACTGAGCCACCCAGGCACCCTGAGTCTTATTTTTTTAATTAATTCCAGCATCCTATATTTTTTGAGTGGAACATTTAAACCATTTACATTTAAAGTAATTATTGATAGCTGTGCGTTTATTGCCACTTTGTTGATTGTTTTCTGGTTGTTTTTGTAGTTTTCTTGCTTTCTTTGTGATTGATGACTTTCTGTGGTGTTATGTTTGGCTTTCTGTCGTTACTTTTTTTCCCCACATTTAAGTTTGCCTTTTTATTTTTAAAAAATTTTTAAAAAGTAATCTTTATGCCCAGTTTGGGGCTCAGACTCACAATCCTGAGATCGAAAGTTGCATCCTCCACTGACAAGCCAACCGTAGCCCCTGTTTTTTAAAATGTCTTATTTCTTTTCATTTATTTGAGTTAATGCAACGTTATATTGGTTTCAGATGTACAACATAGTGATTCAGCAACTCTGTAAGTTATGCTCTGCCCATCGCAAGTGTAGCTACCATCTGTCACCATGCAACACTGTTACAGTACCACTGATTATATTCTGTATACTGTATTTTTTCCCCTTTATTTTACCTATTACATGTGTTGGGTTTATGGTTACTATGAGCTTCATATATAACATTCTAAGTACAAAGCAGTGTATATTAGATGATGGTCATTTAAACTTGAACGCATTTTGAAAGAAATTCTTTTTCACACCCCCTCCATGGTTTATGTATATGCTGCCATGTTTTATTTATTTATTTTTTTAAAGATTTTATTTATTTATTTGACAGAGATCACAAGTAGGCAGAGAGGCAGATGGGGGGTGGGGGGCGGAGAGGCAAGCTTCCCACCAAGCAGAGAGCCCCATGTGGGGCTCAATCACAGGATCCTGGGACCATGACCTGAGCCAAAGGCAGAGGTTTTAACCCACTGAGCCACCCAGGCGCCCCTATCTTTTTAATGGTAATTTCCTTAAATCTAATTGTGGCTTTTTCTTTTCCACTTAAAGTAGTCCCTTTAGCATTTCTCATAAGGCCAGTTTAGTGATGGTGAACTCCTTGATGTTTTGTTTGTGAACTCTCTCTCTTCTTCAATTCTGAATGATAGTCTTGCTAGGTATTCTTTTTTATTCTTTTTTTTTTCTTTTTTTAAAGACTTTATTTATTTGACAGAGAGCGATCACAAGTGGGCAGAGAGGCAGGCAGAGAGAGAGAGAGATTGGAGGAAGCAGGCTCCCTGCAGAGCAGAGAGCCCGATGCGGGACTCGATCCCAGGACCCTGAGATCATGACCTGAGCTGAAGGCAGAGGCTTAAGCACTGAGCCATACAGGTGCCCCGCTAGGTATTCTTGATTGTAGGTTTTTTCCCTGTCAGCACTATGAATGTATCATGCCACACTTTTTTGTCCTGCAAAGTTTCTGCCAAAAAATCAGCCAGTAGTCTTATGTGGTTGTTCTTGTAGGTAATTTTTTGTTTTTTACTTTTACAATTTTCTCTTTAACCTCTGACATTTTAATTTTGTGGTGTGGACCTTCTTGAGTTCATTTTGTTAAGGGGCTCTATGTGCTTCCTGAATCTGGATGTCTGTTTTCTTCCTTAGGGAAGTTTTCAGTTATTTCTTCAAATTTCTGCCCCTTTATTCTCTTTCTGGGACCCTTATAATATGAATGTTCACTTGATATTATCTGACAAATCCCTTAACATCCTCATTTTGAAAAATTATTATTCCTGGTCAGCCTGGATGCTATCCATTAATCCATCTTCCAGATCATTGATCTGTTCTTCTGCATCCATTAATCAACTGTTGAGTCCCTCTAATGTATTTTTTATTTCAGTTGTTGTACTATTCAGCTCTGGTTCTTTGTATTTTCCAGCTCTTTGTTGAAGTTTTTAGAGTTTTTTTATTCTTCAGTCCAGGAAGCATTTTTAAGATCATTAAGTCTTTGTCAGGCATATTATTTCCATTTCATTAAGTTCTTTTTTTGAGATTTTGTCTTTTTCAATTTGGAGCATATTCCCTTGTTTCCCCATTTTTGCATGACTTTGTATTTGTTTCCATAAATTAGCCAGTAATTGCTACTTATCCCAAATTTGAAGGAATGGTCTTGGTTTGTAGTTGTCCTGTGTATGTAGATAGTATAGGCCTGGTGAGTTTTGTTGATGGACTACAGCTGTGGCTGGCATGGGCTGGAGGTTGCAGGGGACTCTGTAGTGGGGTCGCCTTGGTGGGATGGTTGGAATTTAAGTGGGTGTGGGCTGGAGCATTCCTGAGTCTCTATGCATAGGGTGCCCTGGCGGCGTGGCTGAAACTAAAGTGGGTGTAAATTAGGTTATTCTTGCATGCACAGAAGGTGCCCTGGTGAGGGCAGGTAGAGCTGTGTTGTGTTGTTGGCTGGGGAGGTCCCTGGGTGCTTTGTCCAGTGGATGACCTGGCAGGTCAGCTGTAGCTGTAAGGGTGTGGGCTGGGGCATTCATAAGGCTCTCTGCACAGATGGTGCCCTGGAAGGACAGCTGAAGTGAGTTCAAGCCAGGTTGTCCTGGCAGGGCAGCTAGGGATTTCCCTAGAAAGCTGTCTGAAGCCAAAGTGGTACAGGCCCGGAGCTGTCCTTGTGGGACAGCTGGGGTTGGTGTGGGTTGGGGGCCCAGGACTCACTGAGGTGGTAGGCTGGTTAGGACACCTGGACCCTGCTCCCATCTATGCTGTCAGGGTGATGAGGGAACGTAAACTGTGGCATTCACTCCCACCCAGAGACCATTGCAACAGCTCCCTTGCCAGTTAGCAGGGTTCAATGGCTAGTTCCTTTATATTCTGGTTGCTCTTTTAAGCCATGGCTTTTATTTTCTGTGGCCCACAGTAGACATATCTTACTCCTGGTACCTCATTAAACTATTCTCTGCACTGCAGCCTGCAGCATCAGAGGTGAGACTTTGTTACCACGTCTCAATCTCTCTTGCTGTTCTCTGGGTGGTCTGTCTTGTATGGAAGCTGTTCAGTCAGCCCTGTTGTTTTTCAGGAGGAATTGCCTATAAATAGATTTGGTGTGCTGGTTGAGGAGAGTTCAGGATCTTCCTGTGTCACCATCTTGGACTAGAATACTCCCTAGTTCATTGTTCTTTAAACTTAACAGGCTAATATATATAGCTAGGACTACAGGAGGGCAATAGTAGGCCCCAAAATGGATTAAGTAAGCTGTGAATAGCATTTTCTAGATTTAAAAGTAATAAAAGTTTTAAAGCAAAGGTAAATAAAAGGAAAAGTGCTGTGTGGATATACATATCTTACATTGTTATATTATAGGCATGTTAAATTATTAAGAAGTGAAGGAAGATTTAAATTCTGAGTGGTATAATGCTATTATAAGAAAAGGCTACTCACTGATTGGGAAGAGAAATTTAATACAAAGGAGAGATTATGGTCAATCATTTCTGATCTAGATAATGGCTAACCATTCAGACACTAATTTAGCAGTGTTTTGGTGCTGTATTTTAACTTTTTTCATCCTGTGTTGTGTCTGAAGAGTTGGACTAACCAGTTCCCTCATGGTTTTGATGTCTTGGGTGAAGGTCAATGTAATTTTTAGAGAAACTTGTATGAGAGTTGATTATTTTATATATATATATATAAAATAAAACAAAGTACTAGAATCAATAATTAGGAATCTGACCAGGACATTCTGTCTCTAAATCAGAGTACAGAGGAAGCCATAGTTTTCAAAATATTGCTTAATGAGCACAAACTGAGTAAATACAAAAAAAAGACTGATTTTCTTACAAATCTGTCATGTCTGGCACACACTCTGGTTCATAGAGCATACCCAAGGCCTTCTGGTGACCAGCTTATTTCCTTTAGATCACTGCAAATTCAATAATGTCTTACAGAGACTATAACTTAGTTTGGTGACAGACTTAAGGATTAGCCTAGTTCTAATGCACAATGAAACAGTTAGGGTGGCTGATGCTGATGACTCATTTTAAACCGCTTCGACTAGCCTGTGCTTGCTCTAATTTCTAAATCCCAGTTGCTGGTCTCATTATAGCATGTGAAAGGAAGAATGTCACAGCACACTGCAGAGATCTAATCAAGATCCTGAAGCAGGCAGAGGACCTGAATGAAAAGCTCACACCATTGAAACTGATTGATTCTTGGATGGGAAAGGGTGCAGCAAAATTGAGAGTGGCAGGTGTTGTTCCTCCCAAACTTCCTCGTGAAGACCTGGAGAAAATTATTGCACACTTTCTTCTACAGCAGTATCTTAAGTATATACAAATCCATTTCTTGTCCTTTGATGTTGTCTTTATGATTGTTTCTCATAACTGCAACAGAATAAGTAGTTTTCCGGTTGTTTCATGTAAAACTGTTAAATGCCATATAAAATTTACTTAATAAAATCCAACTTTAACTGATCACTGCCAAGTAAAAAAAAAGGCAGTTTATAGAAAGTATTTGTTTTGTGCAAGTTTCATTCCCTATCAGTGTATTAAAATCATTCCATTTATGGTTTTTTTTAATTTGTTTTTTTTATAATTTCTGAAAACTTTTTTCTGATTTTTGGCCTTTATTTTCCACAGAGAAGACTACAGTTTTACAGCATATGCTACCATTTCATATTTGAAAATAGGACCTAAAGCTAATCTTCTGAACAATGAGGCACATGTCATAACCATGCAAGTAAAGAAGCCCACAGAATGCTGTTTCAGGGTAACTGCCTGTTAATTTCTACATACTGAAAAAAACACAGCAGAGCTTAAGGGATACAGTTCTGGGTCCAGTGGAACACAAGAAGAGAGAGGCAGTTTTCTTCTTAGCATGGAAGAGAGAAAACATACCTTTGCTTTCTGTAGAGCTATTAATAATTTAAACTAGTCTACCTTTTAATATAGTCTAGACTTTTCAACCCTTTAGAATGTGAAAAATCCATTTTAGTGTTGTCTAATTTGCAATATACTCTACCCTGGTTGATCAATGCTGGTTGAGAAGTTGGCCTATGCAGCAGAGGTCGAGAACCGATGACTCACATATTAAATAACTCTCAAGCCTGCAAAAGCATGCCACGTACCACTGTGTCTCTGACAGCATATCCCTTCAGGATAGGGCTCGTATGAAGGACCAGTGAATGGGTTTATTAATCTGGAAAGAAAATGGAACAGCTGAGTTTTGACCAGAGTGTTTTCTTCGTTTTTATTTGTAGATGGAATCACCTCAAACTTGTCATTCTTTTGAAGGAGCTGATAAAAAAAGGGAAGAAAAAAATTCAAGTAACTTCCAGAAGTCTGCAAACATGCTTCAGCAGTCTAAGCATACAGGGACTAAAAAGAGAAAAATTGATGATGCATGAATGTTTCTAAATTTTCCAAGAAAACGGTTTATGCATGCATACAACAGTATTTTGTAGTTAAAAGTTTAAGACAATTTTATTAATATTTTATACATATGGAACTTATATCCAAAGTATTAAAGACCTGGAAATTCAAGATCATGAATTATGTAAATTTACAGTATGGAGAAAAATAATTTTAATGCAAAATATTTAAGAAGTGAGTTGGGGGAAATTGGAGGGGGCACAAACCATGAGAGACTGTGGACTCTAAGAAACAAACTGGGTTTTGGAGGGGAGGAGAGTGGGGAGTTGGGAGGGCCTGGTGGTGGGTATTAAGGAGGGCACGTATTGCATGGAGCATTGGATGTGGTGCATAAACAATGAATTTTGGAACACTGAAAAAAAATTAAATTAAAAAAATAAAATTAGATTCTCCCTCTCAAAAAAAGAATGAGTTCACATATCTTAAATCCTTTATCCCTTGACATACCTTCTGATAGCAGTGTTATATGGAATATTTTACATAGGCCTATCACAGAAAGGGAGTGATTTCAGCTCCTAACAGCTGTAGAATCCAAATGTAAAAGGAATAAGTTATCAATACAAGTGATATTAGCAAGGAAGCTATTGCTATATCTCTTAAGTAAAACAAAACAACAAGCCTCTTGAAACCATATAACCCTTTCTGTCATAACTAAAGAATGAGGCGGGCATATCAGACCAAGATGTTGGCTAAGTACATAATAACCTAGCTAAATCTGCTCCAAGGCTAAATCAGAAGTAACTTATATCCTTACATATAAAGTAGTCAATTTTGTGTTGGAAAAAGTAACTGTAAATTATGTGATCTTTGCAATTTTATTTATATTTTAATACTTTCCCACTGAAATCATTATCACTTTTGTATTCTTCATTAAATCAGTGCATTTACCTTATTGAGACTTCCGTGTGTTGGATGGAACTTCATTTTCATTAAAAAGATGCATTTTAAGAATTATATAATCTTCTAAATCAATATTTGGATGTAGCAGATCTTCTCCATATGATGAAAGATCCATCTGATTTAAAATTAAGTTTTCATGTTTCTCCTAAATCAGTTTCACCAACTAAGACAGCTCCCATAATTTGTCCAATTGCTTGACGACTTTGCTGAATTCTTGTCCTTTGGTACATCCAGCATTAATTTATGATCTGAACCTAACCTCTCTGGGTTTTATTTTTCCAGCAATATGACCTGTATACAGAGATGATAAAGTTATTCTAGTGAGTGCCAAAAAAGGAATGATGTGCAGTTACTTTGTGTTATTCTAGAATGGCCAGTACAAAAAAATCTCTTCACAAAATTTTACAGCTAAAAGTGTCAGTGGAGAGAATCACAATGAAAACATCTGAATGACATTGCATTTATTGTACAGATGACACTACCACACAATCTCTATGATCATTAGAAGTACCTAGTGAATTAAAGATGTAGGATTTGGACTATATTGGCCTAGAGTCCTGACTTAAAGATATAATAAGGAACTGAGTTAGACCTTTCACAAGCAAATTAATCTCCTTAAACCTTATGTACGTGTGTTACTCATCAGTAAATTATGAAGAAAAGACTTGCCTCAGTAATGTAAAGAGGAGTAAATAATATGCATGGCAAAGCACCTGGTTCATTCTTGAGTACAACAGCTGTGAGTTCCCCTCAGAAAGCAAGAATGAATCTCAAGTAAGTGCAGAAATGCACAACAGGGAACAAATCTGAAAGAGATTTTTTTCCCCTTTAATTATAAAATAGTAAACCAGGAAGGTAGGTAATGATTAGGAATTAAGGCCAGCAATAATAGCAGGCTTGATTTACAAGAACTAGGAAATGGGTGATATTTTCTAAAATGAAAGCCATGTAAAGTCTTATCCATGAGAAAATCAGACAATTAGTTACAAGACTAACAAGCAGAAAAAGGCACTGATTTGCTTTTTTAGAATCTTACCTTATAGGTAAAAAATTTTGCTACATGAGCAAACAGTTCAAAGCTGAAGTCCATTGTCAATAGATTCTTGTAAACTAGCTGCAGCCATGCACTTCACTGCATACCATCCCATCTGTCTAGCCTGGGTCCACAGCCTCATCTGAAAGAAAAAAACGTGAGAAAATTTTTCATTGTTCTTACTTTAAAGATGCCTTACAAAATTCCTTAAAGGGCTTCAATGCTGACAGCCCTTGGGATTGGCTACATCTAGTGAGATAGAGGACTAGTTGATTGTCTCTGCCATAGAAGCAGTCACCAATCCACACTAACCAAACCGATTTTGGTATCTGATAATTCTTTCCAAATTACTGCCTTTAAAATTAAAGGAGGATACCAACTCTGTATGTTTCAATAAACTCGCCATTAAAAATAATTAAAATATTTCAGGCTACACTAAGGTAAGAATACTTTTTTTTTTATAAGTCAGATTTTTTTTCAAAAGATTTTATTTATTTATTTGACAGATCACAAGTAGGCAGAGAGAGAGAGGAGGAAGCAGGCTCCTCGCTGAGCAGAGAGCCTGATGCGGGGCTTGATCCCAGGACCGTGGGATCATGACCTGAGCCGAAGGCAGAGGCTTAACCCACTAAGCCACCCAGGCGCCCCAAGAATACTGCTTATTAACCAGTCTTTTCTTCAGAGTAAGTTCATCATCAGCATAAGTAGAGATGACAAAGTATCATTGAAAAATTCATTCCTTTTCCTAATCCTTAGTTTTTTATGCTACATAGCTAAGGCCTCCCATGCAGTTAAACCTCAATGGTCAGGCTGATCAATGTAATACGTGATGTCCAGCCTTGGGAAATCTTATCTGATTTCAGCAACTGATGCTGGAAATTCTTTTTTTAAACTATTTTTTAAAAATTTTATTTGAGAGAGAAGGCGCACAAGCAGGGGGAGTGGCAGGCAGAGGGAGAAGGCGAAGCAGGCTCCCCACTGACCAGGGAGCCCAAAGTGGGGCTTGATCCCAGAACCCTGGAATCACGAGCTGAAGGCAGACGCTTAACCAACTGAGCCACCCAGGCGTCCCTAGGAATTCATTTTAAATTTTTGCCTTACAACATTACTAATTTCTCCTCTACTTTTATTGTATTTCTACAAAGCTTTGGGGATCCCTGATAGAACACTTGCCTTGGGAGCCAAGAGATTCAAATACCAACTCTTGTACATATTTAAATTTTTATTTTCAGTTAACTAACTGAGACTTGATTTCTTCACCTGAAACATGAATGTACACTATTCCATGGCTATTGAGAGAATTAAATAAGCTAACCTACACCTCTTTGTGTAACTATGTCCTTTGTGTGCAAAAATACCACCACAATCAAGGATGTGATTTTCAAGTATTTATGGTTAGAAGTGATATATTTTTTTGAGAGACAGAGTGCAAGCAGGGAGGGGCTGAGGGAGAGAATCCTAAGCAGGTTCAACGCCCAGCGCAGAGGCGGACTTGGAGCCAGATCCCCCAACCCTGAAATCATGACCTGTGCTGTGAAACAAGCGTCAGATGCTTAACTGACTTAGTCAGTCAGGTGCCCTGATAATTTTTTTATTTTTAAGTCAGTCTCTTGTGTATAAACAAGATCAGTTTGATGAAGTGAAAGGGAGTCTGTGGGAAGGGAGTAGAGCCAACAGCACAACACTAGAGAACAGCTCACCGGGGTGGCCAGCAGTGTTACACTGCTGCTCCGTTACTGGTCTACAGCCTCAGAGTCCCTCCAGTTTGGGTCTTGGATCACATAAAACTAATTAGTGTACTTATTAATTGCTTCTACAAATTAAGACACAGGTCTATTAGATTCATTCAAAACAAGAAATACCTGTTTACTTTGAATATTGCTTACAGAAGAGTCTGCCCCTATTAAAGATATAATTTATCCTACAAGGTTTAAAAATGTTAAAAAAAAACAAAAAACAAATCCACAAATACCCAATTTCTAATTGAGGGTTGATGACAGACCACAGAATTGACAGAGAATGACTAAGGGAGAAAATTGAAAACAAGCCAGCACTTTAGAAACAGGCCGAAAACACCCTTCCTATTACTGTTATCTCTGCTGTTTGTCAAAACACACAGTGTTGAAGGTCCCTGTCAGACTACACCTAGCCTTTCTGCTACTTCACACTCCACAGTTAATCTGAAGGAGTAAAATCTACCTGCGGATCTGGTCTTTCACTGAGTGTTGCCTGGTTCTTTTAACTGTAACATCTACGTGTGTCTCTACTCCTCCTAAGACCACCTCCCCTAAGGCTGCAGTCTGAGTATCTTCCTTGAGGATTTCTGCTCCATTCTGAGGAGGCAGGCAGCACTGTGAGGGCAGCAGGACGTGGACATCCAATTGGACGGAGTTGTTCAGCTGAGGAAGGCTGTTCACTACGGGGAAGTTTTTCAGTCATAATTCCCACAAGCATGGAACTGAGGTCGTCAGTTCCCACAGGGTCATCATCTACACGGTTTATACTTCAGTATGTTGCTTATTCATCTAAAAGTGTGCCATCCAGTTTGGTAACCACTAGACACATGCAGCTATTTAAAGTTAAATGTAAATAAAATTATATTCAGTTCCTCCGTCACATTCAGCACATTTTAAGGGCTCAACAGAGACAAACAACTACCTGACTGGACACTGCAAACATACAGAACATTTCTGTCGTCACAGAGTTCCACTGGACGGTGCTAAGTGTTTGAGAATATGACATCCCAGAGTGTTCCATCACTATATAATAACTTACCAAAAGGGAAACATTATTTTTTTTTTTAAATGTCACAAAAAAACTCTAGGGCAGCTTCCTACTTAAGTGGGAAGACCAGAGACTTGAATTTGCTGGTAGCCACTCCTTTACCATCAGATGGAATCTGAAAAATCAGATACAAAGGTGTGATGCTGGATGCCGGCTTTCTTGCTGTCACACCGAGCTGGGCCTCCAGGATGCAGTGCAGAAGTCATCCGCGGCGCAGACATCAGAGAGATGTGTGTGCATGGAAGCATCCACTTTCAGGCCACCGTCTTCTCCCAGAGCAAACTAAACAATGTTCCTGATAAGCATTTGTGGGAAGAAAAACAAAAGATGCCTTTTTTGGTCTAAAGTAAAAGAACATGTCAAATTTTTACACCTTGGTATGCTGATCTTCAGTGAGAGCCAAAAAAAAAAAACACCAGCTGCAAAGTTTAGACAACTCAGCTGAATTTCCAGGGAATCAAAATCCTACTAGGACCGTCCGACTGAAAAATTCTTAAGACTTTCAACATTGAGAAC